GTTGACCACAAAACTCAACTGTGAGTTTCTCCTTGACCAGTCAATTGTCCGGGTGGAAAGCTGTCGCGCAAGTCTTCGTCGGGTTCGGGATTAGCTTCCACTGGTCAAAATACTGCGTCACGACAGCGAGGTCAGACGTGAGTATGCAGCTTAGCATCTGCAAGTCGGAATGTTGGGTTGCTAGCGCGATATCATCAGCACAAACGAACTTCTTCGACGCTGTTATTGATGTTCAGCAGCGATGGAGAAAGTGCTGCACCTTGTGGGAGTCCACTGTTGTGGATCCTTTCCTTACTCACCCGCCCATCGATGAGGACCCGGGACCGACGGTCGCTAATCATGGCTACAATAAGGCGAAGACTCTTCTGACATCTGATTATTCTAGAGACTTTGCACATGAGACCATCACGCCAGACCACATCATAAGCCGATGATAGATAGATCAAAACCACCCGTTTTTGTTTCCGTTGGAATCCTGCTTCAATGAAGCCGGTGAGCGAAAGCAGTTGCTCGCAACAACTGCGCAGAGGTCGAAAGTCAGCTTGTTCCATTTGGAGGGTGGCTTCAATTAAAGGCGAAAGTCGCGTCGGTAAAGTTCGCCCATCAGTTTTCTGGCCGTGCACAGTAAAGAGATAGGTCTGCAACTTTCTGGCCTCTCTGGACGTTTTCCTGGCTTTAGGAGGGCGACGACTTTGGCACGTCGCCAGGCGGACGGAAATTTTCCGATTGTATGGATTGCCATAAAAAGCGAGATCAGTCAATATTGGCGTTTTAGACCCATGTTCTTAAGAAGTTCCAGGAAAATTTCATTCACACCAGTAGCCTTCTTGTTCTTCGTGGCCAACAGTGTCACGTGTATTTCCTCTAGAGTGCATCGGGTGGCTAGTAGGCTTGTTTCAGGGCAGCTGTTAAGGACAAGAAAATATTCTTTCTACACTATCTTGAGGACAGCTTTATCTAAGAGTATTTTAGAAGTATGGAGGAGGAGAGCAGCAATGGCGTCAGCGAGACTTTCGCTACTCGATGGTTTGTGGGTTCAGCTGCGCCAAGGTGGCGGAGCAGTGCCCATGCCTTGCGACCGGAATGTGTGAAATCCAGTGTTTCCACAATCTCCCACCATCGTTTCTGTCGCTCTGAATTCAAGGATTCAACGAGAGCAGCTGCAGTTTCAGGAGATCCTCAGCGTCTGCACTCCCTGTAAAGTTCTTCTGTCTCTTTCGACCAACAATGGGTGTAGTTCTTCCGGTATCCACGAGGGATGTTGTTTGTCGCAGCAGAGATCAATATTCGACCCAAGATGCCAAATGCTTGGGGCGTAGGCAAGATCCGTTGAATACGGCCTTCGACTATGGCAGTGTATGATGACCAGGGATGCTTTTCGAAATTCGTTCCGAAATTCCGAAATTTCGAAATGATGATTTGTTTTTCGAAAGTTTCAGCGAGGTAACAGAACAGACTCAAGTGACGGTTGCTGCAGACCGATTCGGAACACAGCAGTGCGGTGCTGGCTTCGCGGAAAAAACTAAGCCCTGTCCTGGAAGCAGGAAGCGGAATGCCGCAGGTGTCTTTGGAAACGGAACAAAGGTCCGGGTTACGGTCAGTCTTCTGTCTTGCTGATCTGAAAGTGCCCTGTTGTTTAGCATCGTGGTACAAGTGTATACCTGCTGCAGGTGCCCAGTCGTCTAGTTGTTCACTTGCCGCACTGTTCACGGTAACAGCTAAGTGAGGCATCGTTGATAATGGTGGTGTTGGCCAATTGGTTCCGAGACGTCCATAAATGTTCATTATGGCGATTTCTCCGACGGTCACTGTAGCGTATTCAAGACCATTTGGTTCGTCTATGTGCTCGCCAGTCCGATTTATGGCGGCGTTGAACTGCTGCGTCACTGACGAGTCTACTCAAGCAAACTAATTCATTCCTGTGGTCCGTTGTCCAACTCTGGGTCACAATTATAAATGTGACAACTGTACTGCTGCGGATGTTTGCAGCAGCCTGGAGTACTGTGGTAGCCTCCCAGATAGCGAAACAATGCAATTCTGAGTTGGTAGATTATTTCTGTGTTCGAAGAACTACCTTCGAATCCTAACATGGAAAACGTGGAAGTTGACAATGTACCTCCTAGAATATTCTAGCCTCAAGCCAACAAAACAGCTATGAGAGAATGATGCGAGTGTCTTAGAATTTGGTGTATGGTTGAAGTTCGATCGATGGCCAAACACGTGAGATGGAGTTAGGTATACACCTTTTGCTTACACATTCAGCAATCAGATGGTCAAGACCAAGTACAGCCCGGAAAGACGCTAGCACCGGAAATACTGACCGTAAGTCTCGCTCATTCTGGTATCGTCACAACAGAGCACGATGTAATCCCTACTGTTAGCAAGTCAGTAATTTGCTACCGGTTTCTCAGCTGGTTGCAGCGAAGTACATGGGTTGATTTTCCTACTCGAGGAGATCAATCGTCAAGATAAATTATTTACCGCCCACTGAATTCTATATCGGCACCAATAAAGTTCAAAACAGACCTTTTAGCCACTGTTCGACCGCCCTGCCCCTTTCTCCATCTCAAGAACGATCAGCACTACGTCGTTATTTTGACTACCCCTGGAACTGTCAAGCTCGCTACACTGAAACACGTAACCGACTCTGAAAAACAGCACAATTCGTTATTCCCTTCAACTCGTTGAAAATGACGGTTCAGTGCACTGCTTGATATATATAAACTGTAAATTATATTACTTTAAAGCTAAGTCACCGAGTCGGCGACCAATTTTACAGCAACTAATCATTTTTCCATGAGTAAATATTCTATTGATAGTCACTTATCTCTTTCACGTAATCTGACCAGTGTATTTAAAAAATCACAAATGCCCGCCCCCTATTCAACAGATATTATCATGGCGAACACTGAAGTGCATAAACAACATCGCATAACGGTTTCAACAGGTAAATGTGATAACAGCTGGAGGGGGAATCGGATGGAAACTCTTTAAGAGCGGCTTACTCGTTGGTGCCGCCTGAGGGTCATAAGCAATCTTTCTGGTGGACACCGGAAGTTCAACTCGCTGTCAGCGAGGAGAAGACTGCATTTAAAAAGTGGCTTGGAAGTAAAGAGCCTTCAACTAGAATGCGGCACGAAAAAGCGAGCAAAGTGCGCGACAGTAGTAGCAAAGCGAATCCTCATTCATGGAAAAACTTCTGTGAGGTGCTTCTGTGAGTCCGATTTAAAAACAGACCATCTGCCACTTCTGAGACGGGAAGAAGGCCAGTCTAACAGTTCTGAAAAACATGTCTGGACAACTTGTTTCCCACGATGAGGACACGAGATGGAGAGATGATTTTAAAGAACTCTTTAACTTCGAGCACGTGCAGGAAGATTTACCTGAAGAGCAGTGTGGCATCAAACCAGGTCGAAACATCTCTGACCACATGACGCCTTACTCCAGATTGTTGAGAAATGGTTAGAGTTCGCTCATCTTGTTCACTACACGTGCCCTGTCGACCAAAGAAAGCCTATGACCGGATCCCGCACAACAAATCAACAAATTATGGACACTCCTATAAACATACTGGATCGATAGCCAGTTGGTACAAAACATCCAGTTACCACATACTGAGAGTAGATGCTGCGTCGTAGTAAATGGCGTTAAGTCGAGATGTTTCACTGTTGAAACTGGGCTCCGCCAAGGCTGCGTCCGCCCCTTCTCCTGTTTGTGTTGTA